AGGGGAGCATTTTCTGGCCCCATTCTGCTCAAAGTACTCGATCAGTTTCTTGGAATCCGTGCCGAGCTCATTATTGTAGACGACTCTTCCTCCACTTTGCAACAATAGCAGTTCATCAAACTGCTCAAAAAGGACGGCAGAGGGCTGGTGGATCGTGCACAGAATGGCCTGTCCGGCATCGGCAAGGCGTCGAAGAAAACGCACGATGTTGTAAGCAGCCAAGGAGTCCAATCCAGACGTTGGCTCGTCTAAGAATAGTAGTAATTGAGGCTTACTTGCTAGCTCAACTGCGATAGTAAGTCTTTTGCGTTGCTCAGCGTTCAGTCCAGCGCCCCCCTCGCCGACTATAGCACCTGCAATTGGCCGCATTTCAAGGAGATCAATTATCTTCTCGCAATATTCGTACTTCTCCTTGATAGGTACCTCCTTTGGCTGACGAAGGAGGGCCGAGAACTGGAGCGATTCCCGGACAGTCGCTGTAGGCTCGTGAATATCCATTTGCTCAGCAAAGCCAGTTGCTCTTTGGAAGCTTTTGGGAAGAGGCCTGCGAGCGTAAGCATTTGCTGTAAAGGTGGTCTTCAGGCCGGTACTCACTTTCCGTCAACAAGAAATGTACCTGTGACAACGCCAAAATTTATCCGCTGGGCAAGAGTATTGAGAAGCGTCGTCTTGCTGAGAAACTTTTAGTAAATCACTTACAGATCTTAGGGAACAGAAGTCACTTACCCAGCCCCAGAAGCACCCATTAACGCAGTGAGGCGACCCGGCTTGACATATCCCTGAACATCTTGTAGTAGCTTTCTCTGGCCGTCTTTGTAGGGGATCGTGTAGTTTACACCTTGCCAGGTAAATATCGATGTGCTTTGCGCGATTCCATGCACCTCATCACTGGAATCGTCTGTACCTTTCTCTTGAAACCCGCTGGTGGCTCCTGCCCCATCACTTCCCGTTTCTACATCCCCCGGAAGTTCCTTGTTTTTGACAGCCTCCTGCACAGCCTCCGGCGCCTCGCCTTTCTTAAAGATTGTAACCGTGCTGCCTCCTTTGTTGGGTTTCTGGAGCTCCATTCCGACCATTGTCAAGCATACGAAAAGGACGAACCAAGCTATGACAATACCAAAGTTTCGCCATAAGTGTGATCGACTGTACGTGAAAGCAGCCTCTATGTAGTTTGATCCCTGGACAACAAGCTGATTTGGCGTACTTCCTTGAATCGCACAAACTTGGTTGCCGGGCTGTGCACTGGGTCCATCCGGAAATATGGATGGGGAGACACACTGCAAATCCAAATCGTAGAACTCATTTGACATAATCGCCTCAAAAGCGTACTGCAATGGATTGATCCAAATTAACCATTTGAGCCAAGGGTGCATTTTCCATGGGGGAATGAGGTATCCTGGGTAATTTCAGTAAGTAGTTTTCAGTAAGTGGCTGATATCCCTTACCGGTATATACTATCAGCGCCTGGACAGAAACTCCAGTTACGCGGGTGGCTACAGTTTTCAGTTAGCTCACGTAGGGAATAGCTCTTTGTCTTTGTTTTACATACCAACGTCGAGAGAAGCACTCAGAGCTCCGATAGTCCGGAAGAATGAGTACATGGTCATGGTCAGAATGAAAACGAATAAGAAGTTAATGAAAAACTGAGACGCGGTCCGCGAAAGATTTGACATGCTGAAAAGAATGGTAAGCCTCAATCAACAGCAAACGCGGTAGAGTTGCATACAAGTATACAATTAGCTCGAAAATGGTGACCTGAACGAAGACAATGGGGACATCAACGACCACTTGAGCTAAGGCATATGCCGCTGGACGATAGAAGGAGCTGATCGAGTTAGCCTACTGCTGAAATATCGCTACATTGTCCCACTCACAAACTCTTATGTTTTAATATGACGGGTCGGCTTCCATAAAGAGCCGTAAGCTCTGCCATAGCCAGCAGGGAATTGAATAGAAGTACATAAAACATGACACCGCCTCTAGTGAAGACACCAGCGCTATAAAAATTGTCAGTAATTACTTGGCAAGTGAGATCGGTAAAGGAAAAGCGAGACTGACCTAGTCGGGGGCAGATCATAGAAGAGACTGCCGATGATGAGTGCCTGGAACGTGAGCATCACCCATTTCCCGATGAGTGTCTGCTTATCTCCATACATGACGAGGAATTGCCGTTGAGTCAGTATAATAACCTGCTTATAGAAAGACACCGTATAGTTTTGTTTTCTTTTCCTTTCTCTGGCCTGCTCACACGCCCGCTGCTCCGACTCGATCTCTTTTTCAAAATCTTCAATATCTGCCTTGGCTTCCTTGCATATCTCGCTCTTTTGATACGCTCTCTGAAAGTCTTCTCCGGAACGCGGAACTCGATCCTCCCAGCCTTCCTTGATACGTCGCGCATATGGGTCACTGACAGATGTCAAGAAATCCGGTGTGGTCCACCGAGGAGGGCACACAAACCCCAAACGCTCGAAGTATGCCTTTGCATTCTCGGTGCGCCCGTAGTAGGCACATTTGCCTTCCTCAATCAACATGACTTTGTCGAAGAGATTGTAAAGATTTTCCGAGGCTTGGTAGAGAGCCACAAGTGTAGAGGCATGTGCCATGTCTGTTGAGCTTCTCAAGCTTTCCACGTACTCCAGAGCCGTGCTAGCATCGAGGCCTTTGGTGGAATTGTCCCAGCATTGCGTGCTAGCTTTTGTGATTAGGGCTTCGCCAATAGACACACGCTTCTTCTCTCCTCCAGAAACTCCGCGAATAAGTTCATTGCCGACCTTGGTCCCCAGTGCATGCTCTATCCAGAACAACTTGGCGATGGTAGAAAGGAATGTCTCCTGGTAATGCTTTCTACTTTCACCAGGCAGTCGTGAAGATTTGTCCGGGGTTCTTGACTTGAGGGCAAACATCAAGGTGTCGCGTACGGTGAGCGTAGGATAGTGGAGGTCGTCTTCGGGGTTGTAGAGAACCTCCGAACGGTAATTCTTTGCCATGGTTTCGGCATCTGCACCTCCGTAGCGAACATCACCTTCCACGCTTTTGTAGCCCGATCGTTGATTCCCAATGACTTTCAGAAACGTAGAGCAACCGGACCCCGGGCGACCAAGAACCAGAAGCATTTCCCCAGGCCGTACACATCCGTTGAAGTCATCTAGAATAGTTCTCAGTGGTGCGCTCTTCCTTCCGCCGGTGAGTAGGCCTTTGATCAACCTCGGTAAACCCAAGAGGATGTCAGTGTTTGTGGGCTGGAGGGCCGCTCCTAGACCAACACCTTTGACAGTCAGGTCTTTCCATACTACACCAAGATGTCTTGTCTTTTCCTCTTCTGAGTTGGCCTTTCTTTCCTGGCCAAACATTCGCGAGACCAGCCTCGCTATCTGATCCGTATCGTCGGCCCCCGCAGCCCCAGTGCTACGTCGTTGAGAAAGGGCGCGAGCAATATCCTGTTGCGTGAGCTGCCTCTGAAGTGAGGACTCTTGTCGGATCAAATTTTCATTCGAGACTTGATGCTCAACAGGAATAGCCGATTGCTTTCTAGAGAGCCCCGAGCTAGGCGATGCACTTGAGCTTGAACCGGAAGAAGAATCCAGTGACGTTTTTTTCTCTTCTTCGAGAACAGAGCTTTGCTCGTGGGGAGGTGAGCGTCCCGAGTCCATGTTGATAGTGATGCGATGATAGCTACCGGGACTATAGCATTGCAGTGAAAGTAACGGCGGAGACAATACCCGATGTCGAATCGAAACTCGAGAAGAAACTCGACCGAGGGATGAGCGAATGCAAGGAATCTCCCTGTGTCTTTATCTCTACACTCTGCATTCCGTGTTAAGTACCGGCATTGTCGGAGCTTCGTCAAGACCGATGCAACTTCACCACCGAGCTCTAGCTTTCCACAAGCAGAGTGAAGTATGGGTCGGACAACATGAGGACCGAAATGCCGATCGAGGGATCGAATAAGCATGCATCAAGTGATGAGACCAGTTCGAGTCATGAAGGAAGGTGGGGGGAAAGACCCTGAGTGAACCATGGCTTAAGCTTGATGTCGTCGGTTGATTCCGTGGATCATGGTGAGGTCATCATCTGCGGATCTGGACCAGATCGGTGATCGGATGCGATTTCTATTAGTCCTCCATTGTCTTGAGTGACTGAAGGCATTGTAACGGTCATAGAATTGAAGCAAGGAGCAAGACAGAGTGGGGGAATTAGAGCGCGTACTTTCCCACATTTTGCTTGAAACCAAATCAGCCCAGGTATGAAGCTATCAGCCACTTGAAGAGGAGGCTGGATTGTTCTATAGATAAGCCCAGGCTGGATGATCTTTGATCAATGGGGCAAATCCCAGCGTTGCAGTTTATTTGCCCGGTCCCACATTTGACAGCATTGCTGGGGTGCAGGTGTGGGTAATGGAATGAAGGGGGTGAAAGAGGAAGAAAGATGGCTTGGCTGCGTCAAGAGGAGGAGAGAGTAGAGCTGCCCCTCTGCTTTTCCGCCTCACTCTCTACTCTCTTCTCTCTTCGCTCTTCTCTTTTCCGCCTCTTCTCCACTAACTTCCCACCTCCTTCTCTTCACCCTTCCCCTTAAAATTATTGGAATCCGGAGGTTAGCAACAAGCACTAACAATGCCCTCTTCTTGGTGGCAGAATAAACGGCAGCATGGCCACCCCCGCACATTATACCAAGGGAAGTGCAGCAGATCTGAATGACGTCCGACGATTAACCGGATCAATGAGAAGGGATGACTTTTCCCCCCTCAAATACTTGGCTAGAATGGATATTTATCCAGTTTCCCCGCCGACGCAGATCTTCCATATATATTCCTGTGCGAAGATCTCGGAAACGGACTGAATGTTTGCCCCGCTAGTCTTCGCTGTACATATTCCGGCTAAATGAGCCAAGTTCAGAGGTCGAACAGCACAGAGGTTTAAAAAGCAGCTCTTCGCAAATGCGGATCTGATTCCTGAGGGTTAGATCAAGAGGTTTATTCCTTCGGACCTCTAATGAATCTCATAATGCATCCTCACGTCCTCTGCCTAGGGCTGCTGCTTGCTAGTAGTAATGCAGCTGCAGTTTCCAGCACTGCCAGTTCTACAGCTGCATCCCCTCTGGTGACCACTCTGAACATCACTGTAGAAGGTGGAAACTATCCACTGCACATCTTCCTATTGAATACAAGTACACCTAACAAATACTCCAGATTTATGGAACCTATATATTGGCCCCGTTGAGACTGCCTCGATCAACACCACCGTTGAACCTACTCCAATTCCATCTGCCGAACTGATCCCCCCTCCCCCACTCTACTACCCCTCCTACTTACCAGGAGCCCAGATCCCAGGACTACGAAGAAACGAAAGCTGGTCATTCCCCAAAGGGTTCTGGTGGGGCGTATCAAGCGCCTCATATCAAGTCGAAGGGGCCGTCAAAGCAGATGGCCGGGGCCCTAGCTTATGGGATGCATTTACCCACCGAGCCATGAGCGTAGCCGACAACCAGACAGGAGATGTCGCGATTAACCAGTATTACATGTACAAGCAAGGTACTCCTCCTATCAAGCCCGAAAAGCTTTATCTCTCTAATATGTCAATACCGTAGACATCCAACGCATCGCCGCGATGGGCGTACCAGCATACTCCTTCTCTGTCTCCTGGTCCAGAATCTTCCCCTTCGGCAACGGCCCCATCAACGAAGCAGGTCTGCAGTACTATGACGACGTAATCAACACCTGCCTAGAATACGGCGTCAAACCCCAAGTGACACTGTACCATTGGGACCTGCCCTTATACCTCCAGCTCTCCTACGGAGGCTGGACAAGCGAAAAGATCGTCGACGACTTCGTCGCCTATGCCAAGGTCCTCTTAGAGCGATGGGGCGACAAAGTCTGGCAATGGTACACATTCAACGAACCGCACTCCTTCTGCGGCGAATACCCAGTACCAGATGGATATTTCCCGCGCACCACGTCCATCCCCGACGTCCAGCAACCCTACTGGTGCGGACACTACATGCTTATCGCCGCGGGAAAAACATACCAACTTGCACGTTCAATGAACATCACAGCACCCATCAGCATCAAGAATAACGGCGGCTACAAGCTCCCTCGAACTGCTTCCCCAGAAGACGCAGAAGCCGTCGAGCGCGCCTGGGCATTCAACGAAGGATGGTTCGCGGACCCCCTGTTCCTAGGCGACTATCCATCCCGGCTGAAGAACTTCACCTCGAGCTTCTTACCCGAGTTCACGACCGAAGAGCGGGACATGATCAAGGGAGCAAGTGATTACTTCGCGCACGACGCCTACACAGCGGCATACTACATGGCACCTGATGCAGGGATCGAGGGGTGTCTGTCTGACCCCAGTAACAGCCTATACCCGGAATGCTATAATTCCTCCTATACGTTGCCAGAATCCGAAGGCGGTTGGCTTGTTGGCCCGGCGTCCGATCCTAATACCCGCTGGCTTCATAAGGCTACTGAGTGGCTGCCTCAGTTCCTGCACTATATCCAGGATACGTGGAAGCCCGAGAATGGCATAGCCATCACTGAGTTCGGATTTTCGGAGCCGTTTGAGGCGTATAAGACTCTGCGCGAGGATATATTGACGGATCCTTTGAGGACGCTCTATTACCACGACTATGTGCAGGCAATGTTGATGGCTGTCGCCGAGGGGGTTAAACTTGTGGGATGTTCGGCTTGGAGCATTGCTGATAATATTGAGTGGACTGCGGGGTTTACTGTTAAGTTTGGATTGCAGGTGAGTTTACTTTCCTTCTGTAGGAAAATGGGTATTACTAACTCTGTTGTTTTGTAGTATGTCAATTTGACCACGCAAGAGCGCTTCTACAAGGCTAGTTTCTTTGAACTGGCAAATTTGTTCCGGACATATATCAAGGAGTAGTATGGACATATGCTCCCAGTACGTGATTTTGCCACCTGCGGTATTATACAACTGGTACGAATGCTATTACCTGAGCTTATCTACACAGTATCCATACCAGATACATCCATCAAACAACCCATCTACTCCGTCTTTTGACAATGGTTTCCCACCCATTCCTTACATTCAAGTTAGGCTGTATCCCATTATCCCAATAGAAAGAACGAAGATAATCCAAAGCCGGAGTCTGACCCTTACCCTCAATATTCCGAATCAAATGACGAGGACCAGGTATAAACAGCGGAGCATACAAAATCAGATCCGGTGCTGCCGAGGCGTTACATATACCCATACCCTCCATACATTCCCGTACCCAAGAGCCTGCCCGATCTCCCCACCAGTAAACGGTAGCAAAATCCATCACGCCATAGAAGTCACTATGAAACACGAGGATCTCGAAGAGCATTTCCATGCGGAGGCCGTCGTCTGGAAATTCTGGTCCAGTCTCGCTTACTTTCCGACCCTATAAATATTAGCCAGAAACCCTCACCACATTGAAGTAAATTCAGTAGACGCACCTGTATCTCACACCTCTCACAAAACCCCGTATCATCTCCACAATGGTTAACAATCCCAAATTTACGCGCGGGAGGCTGCTGGACCAGCATATAGCGCCAACTTGCGTCTTCTCGCATGTATACTTCCGTCCTATTGGGGTCTTTGACCATGTCGAGAGTATCGAAGGTGAGTTTGGATTCTGTGTGCTCGGGAAAGACGATACTATTCCGTTCGAAGATACCCGGGAAGGCTTCTGCTAGTAAGGGGTTGAGAAGTCTTATGGTGGATTCATGGCTGCGGCTCTTAAATGGTTGGAAGAATAATGCTTCTTGGATGGGGCGTGAGTCACGAATCAGAAAATTCCAAAAACGGTTGACGCGGGGCGCGGAGGTAAGGAGCGTGCGCATGTCCAAGTCATGGAGGATGCGTTCTAGGATGCAGCGGACGGATAGGACGGTTTGGATACTGTTGCTGGATGTCATGATGATGATTGTTGATATTAGATCGAGGGTGGTTGGGTTCACTTGGAAGGATATGGTTACTTCTTTTTTGAATTAGAGATTCAGACCATACGAGTGACATGATGTTATGATATCTTTCGTTAGGCAATAGCTACTCAATGAGACACTGGGTGGTAGTTTCCTGTTTAATTAGATTCATCTTAGTTATATCCGACGAAAGAATGGAGATTCTTAATCCCGAGATATAGACGAAACCAAAAGGCCAATCATATTAATGTAGGTATCTTTGAAAGAAAAGCAAGTCTATATACATCATTGAGCAAGATTTTCGAAGCCGAAGGCCTATGCCTAACTTTCGGTTATGGGTTGACAACCGAAAGAGTATACATGTCGTTCTCTTGCAGCATATGCATCGTTCCCCCAACCACTGAGACGTTCGCCGGGTTAATCACTGGAGCAGGGGCGTCATCCCAATTGGAAACAACCGTATCCTCACCGTTTAGTATGCGGTTGATGTTCAGCATCGTACTGTACATAACCCCGTGACTGGAGACAGGATGGACATCCTCATTCCCGCCATGAATATCAGATTCCTTCGAGGAGGGCCCAGCAGGATGATATCCACCTGTTAAGGATGGGTAGACCGCAAAGCACCGGAGATAGCCATTACCGCACATGCGACCGAGCGATACGTCGAACTGGGCGCCAATGTCGATTTTGTCTGCGAGGCCTGTTGGGTTCACAGAAAGAGCAGACAAGATCTTCTGAGCACCATGATAGCTCACTGCATAGACTATGGAGCAAACAGCATCGTTGACGGCGCAGGTCAGACGGGTGTAATCTGGTATCCCGAACGGAGGCGGATCGCGCCAGTAGGGCAGAAAGTGATGTGGTGGAAGGACGGTTGTATCATTTGAGCTCACGAAATACGGCTCATTAGTTCGACATTCCATGCCACAGTGACCAAGCCAGATGATGTCCCAGTCATCACCGTAGGGCGAAGCCGTCACCTTCTTATCCGCCCCTTGGAGAGCCCGTACACCGAGAGCAAAGCTCTGTAGCTGGGTTTTGAGATTGACGTCCCAGTCGACATCATCCTCCATGATCATGGCACTTCCTATCCTTTCATGAACAATTCTGGGAATGCAACGTTAGCCAGATGTACGGAAAGGGGGGCAGACTGTCGCATACCGTTGCATGGCGTTCACATGAGCCCGTCGAGCACCATACTCGGTAGGTTTATGGTCATAGTTCCAGTTCTGAATTGTCAGTGGCAGGCATTCCATCGGATCTAACTTATGGACTCACATAAGGGTATGTCCTGGGGTCAACCTCGTCGGGAGTGATACCGTTTACCCAGTCGATGTTAAACCCACTGACTGAAGAACCGAGGACAAGATTGTCGCGCTTGTCAACCCTGCTAGGCAAATTGATCGCGAATATTTTCTGGACCTATACATAATTAGGGTGGGGGCTAATATCAACATCATTGGAAGGAAATACCCCCAAAGTTTCGTTCCTGATCGCCTCGAACTGTGACCGGGCGCGTCTAGCTCCTATCCGCACGGTGGGCCGGGCATAGGGCAACTGCCAAAGGATGAGGATGATCCCGAGCACCCCCAGCGCATAGAGAATCAACCGGCCGAACCGTTTCTGTGATGTGAATAGAAACATTTTTAGTTGGGCCAGACAGAAGGTCGACCGGATTGTGAAAGGTGACCAGGCAATCTCCCCAGTCTTTTTCAATTCCCCTGAATCTCTGCCTAGGCCTAGGTGGCTAGTCTATTAGATCTGGGGCTAATGAAGTGGAACGGCGCCGAGCGGGTCTCAGCTGTCTCGCCTGGCTTTTGCCTGGACACTTTGGTGACTCTTTATGAGTGGCCTGGGTCGCTGGAGGGTTGTATTTCCGTTGTGAATTTCCAAATTCCTTCGATTGTTAATTGTTAATCCACCTGGTGCTAGCCCTGACGCGCGGAAGCCAGGGTCCGGGGAACTCATGGGCTGGCGGCTAGTTCGACCACTGAAACCACGGGTCTCCGCGCCATCAGTTGGTGTACACAGTAGTGCGCATCAGGGTGATATAACTGGTTGACATGCGATGATAATGATATCTGTCGTTCTTAAAATATCTAACCGTCTGACCCGCAAGCGAAGGGGGGTCAAGTAACTGCCCATCTCCACGTAATACCTACTATTTAAGTCATCCKACTATTAC